ACAATCATTTTTAATCCTTAAAATCTAGCAAATATTTTCCTAAAACTTGTAGTGGAGGTCACCATATGTTAATTTTGGGTTAGTTATTTTGTTAGTTTTGTATTTTAATTATCTTCCTTAAATTTGGATTTTGCAAATTAAGCTCGGATTTTGCAAAAAAAATAACGTAAAAGCCCCGTTTTGTGAATTCGGATTCCCGTAGTTAAATTTAGAATTCACAAAACGGGGCTTTTATGTTGTTTTTTTTGCAAAATCCGAGCTCAATTTGGATCCTTAAGGGCTAAAATGACCTCTAAAACCTTTAACGGAACATTATTTTAGCACGAAAATCGAGAAAAAAAATTAAATAGGTGTAAAGTGGGCCCCACTAACGGCAACATGTAACGGAGGGTTAACGGCAAGGTTACAGGGTAGTCAATAAATGGACCTTGAGGTTACAGCGTGGAACTTTTAGAAGGAGGGGGCACAACGTGGAAAAGTGAACATCTGAGGGTTACTGTGTAGAATTATATGTTTTTATTATGTTAGTAAAAAATTATGATCAAAACTAATACATTTAGTGAAAAAAGGTCCAATGTCTCATGTATTTTGGGACGGAGGGAGTATTATGAATAGTGTTTAAAATCTGAACATAACCAATAAAAAGAAACGGAGGGAGTATTATGAATAATATTTAAAATCTGATAATAACCAATAAAAAGAAACGTAGGGGTACCCTACAAAATTACAAAATTAATCATCCTAAAGTAATTGAAACACTTTAATATACATTTTTGTTGATACTATAACATTTTTTCACCAAATGCCCTTGACCTTTTCAAAATTCACCTAATACCCTCAAGTTTTTCAAAATTCACCAAATACCACTGACGTTTGTTACTATTCACACCTTGACCTTAATTGACCCCTGACGTTAATTCTATTAGTACAAATTTACCATTTAGCCCTTATTGTCTTAAATGGCGCCATGAATACCATTGACTCTTTGACTTGATCATAAGAGCCAAAAAAAATTTGACCCCTCGTATTTCTCATCTTCTCTTGCTCTGTTCTTCAAGGTTTTAGCAAAAAGGAACCCTAAAAAATCATCACGAAAAATCCAATATTTCCAAAATCTGAAGTTCAAACCTGGAACAACAAAGTACCAAAGAGTTAGTGAGACTGAATTGTGGGCAGAGAGAAGCTTTGCGACGTGTTGCGAGAGGGTAGGTTGACTTTGAAGCAAAAGTGTAATCGGAACATTGCATTTGTTGTCTGACAAGTCGCTTAAGGTACTATTCTCTCTTTCGATCTTGAAATCGCGTTCATTTTTTAGGGTTTTTGTGAAAATTGATTTAGGGTTTAGGGTTTAGGGTTTTGAAATGATGAGCTGCATGTGTTTGCTTAATAAGTGTAACTTGAATGTGGTTGATTTATATCTGTTATTGTTTGATGAATGTGGTTGATTTATACCTATTATTGTTTGATAAATGTGTTTGATTTATACCTATTATTGTTTGATGAATGTGTTTGATGAATGTAATGGAGTAAATTGGTAGTTGTATTTTGTTTGTGCACTTAGTGAATTTGTTGTGTGCATATATAGGAGAATCATGTGTGGCTAAAGGTTATTCATAAACATGATGCATTTGATGTGTTGATTGAGGACACTAATAGGAGTAAGTTAATGGAGTTGTTTGAGTACATGTTCGAGGATTCTGTAAAACAAAATGTCTACCTCCCTTAATATTTCACTATGCTCATTGATAAACCTAGAACAAAAAGAAAGTTGGAGTTGTGTGATGATACTGATTTGTTGAAAATGTGGGAGTGGAATGAGAGTAAGGAAACCATAAAAGCATGGATAGAGGCAACAGATGTTCTAGGAATTGTGTTTGACTCTGTTGAAGCTAGTTGGCAAAGAAAGATTAGAATATTTTAATCAAGCAATTTTATTTTGACAATAATTATTTTTACGATATATGAGAATTCGAGTGAGATGATTTTTAGTGATTGTGACTATTCACCACAATTTTATTTGGTATGTATGCATGTATGAATTTTTAATACTCGCATAGTATCATATTAGGTATTTTATATACTTTGAAAATTGAAATGATATCATTATAAGAAGATTATGATTTTTGGATTGTTTGATGAATTTTATTTAATGATTTGTTTACAAGCATGATAAGATGTGATAATTTAATTATGATATGATACATTTATTAAAAGTAGACTGAATCATTTAATTATTTAAATAATAAGTAACAAGAAAAAAAATTAATGCAAACTTAATTTAATTTTAAAAGAAAGAGCTACATTTATTATTTATGTAACATGATTGTTATCTATTACTCACTCATATTTATAGATAGGGATAAGTAAGTAAATTTAATACTCTCTTATAGAATGAGTTGAGTCAAAGAAGGATTCCAACATAGAAGTGTAATCATGCACATTTTGTGTGTGTCATAACCATGTAATAAATTGATTAATCACAAAATTAAGGGGTGAATGCAATAAATTATTACATATAACTATTTAAAATATGATATTCAATTATATTTTTTTTCTAACGGATAAATCACAAAAGAAATTTAAAATAGGTTTGTGAATAGTGGAGAAGTGTAAATAATACAATTAAAATAACGGATGAAGCAATTAACAAATTACATAAAATTATTTATGAATTAGCAAATTACATAAATATTTATAATTATCATTTTTCTCGGGGCCACCAAAATATCAAAATCGGCTATGGTTCTTTGATTTCCGTAACAACGGCTGGTGAAATTTCACATAATTCATAATTAAATTCCACAATTTCAAGAAGATCTTATATATCCAGCATTAAAAAAAGTATACTAAAAAAAATAAAAAATCAATTGACATACGATAAAATTTAAATTCGCAAATTGTAACTAGCAATGAATTAAAGCACACAAACTAAAAAATTCATAAAATTGAAAACGTAAAAAAGTGTTAGGACTTGGAATATAGTATTATTAGAAAGTTCATATCTAAAAAAATTAATCAAAACCCTAATTTTCTAAATTGATTACAACACACAACTAAAAGTCGAAATTCGAATCAAAAACAAATTATAAGCAGAATTACGTAACAAAATAATACCAGGTAATTGGTTGATGAGTGGTGTAAGCGGGTTACTCACTGGCCACTGTTCATAGCTAAGAAGCTTGGCTCGTCAATTCAATCAATGATGAAAATCATCAGATTCGACTAACAAGAATGAGAGAGAGGAGAGAAGCAAATAATGAAATTAAATAGGTATTGGAAATCAAATAGAGAAGAGGAAGTAATATACGGTGTTTACTGTTAACAAGGGTTTGTATATGCTCGTATCGAAATTTTGAAATTGGATATACAAATACGATTTTCCCCTCTTGTAGAGAGCACCCTAATATTTAATTTTTCTTAACATGAATATTAAGGCATATGCATATATTGAATATTAAGTCTCATTTCAATAACATGAACATAAATTCTAATGAACTTAATTTTATGGAGCATTGTGCATTCGTTTGATGTTTAACGTATAGCATTGTGATTAAGCAATTAATTTTTTTTTTAATTTTTATAAAAACTTGCTTAGGTTTATCTTATACTCTCTTGTCCCTCCGTTCCTATTTGTTTTTTACGTTTCCATTTTAGGTGTTTTTATTTATTCTTTACATTTAAGATTTTTTTTATTTTAAGACATAAAATTTGGACTACTTTACCCTTGCTTTATTTTTTAATATCTCATGTTGTCCTCAATTTTGCATGTGATAGTGTATTTTTTCAATTTTATATAGGATGGAGTACTAATTTCAATGTTCATTATTACTTTCTCTCACCTCTCTCCTCTTCAAACTTTTCTTTTTCATTATTCTTTAGTAGTAATAGTCCCCTTTAACATTTCCCAATGAATTATGATGACAAAAATGATTGAATGTACTTACTATATTAATTTTCCTAAATAACCGCGCATAATTCTAAACGTAAAGGACAAAAGGGAATAGAGGGAGTAGCTTCTTGATTAAGTTGTAAAGTCGTACATGAGTAAAATCGGTAACACCAATTTTATCACTCGTAAAAAGCAAACATATTGGAATATAATGAATTTTTTAATGGAGTATATAAACCGATCTTGGGTGTCAACCATAAGGTTAAGCTTTTGGTTGAGTTGATCATCTGACTGATTTCAATATTTTGCAAAATACACGTTAAATAACAGTTTATCCAAGATATATAATCGAAAAGGAATCCTAAATAGAGTAAGCTTCTAAGTATTCCTAATGACTTATATATGTATATGCAGGTGAGAAAAAGGAAAAATGATGAAGCTGTTGAAAGGATTAATGATTGTGCTAGCTAATTTGTGATGAACGACAATTAACAACGAAGAAGAACGAAAACAAGTAAAACAACGAAACAAGAACGAATTTATTGTGGGAATCAAGTGTCAAGAGAAAACCCACAATCCACTATGGAATATGATGATCAAATTAGCTAAAATAAGGTGAACTGAACATGGCCTTAATGATGATGAAATTACAAACTTGAATTGTATGGAATTCAAAAGCTCCTCACAAACTCTCCTTCAAGTGTTACAATTTGTGAAAGTTGTAAAAGCATAAAAACCTAATTGGGTATTTATACCCTCGACATATCCGGTCAGGTATCACGTCAGCACGGACGTGCTAAACATGACATGGGCGTGCTAACCTAGATAAAGAAATCTAATAGCTACAACTGTCCTGGGCTCGAGCAGCATGGGCGTGCAAGATTCAGGTGTTGCCCTGTTCTGGTCAACACATACAGATCTTCGTAAAACGGCAATAACTTCGTCGATTCTTGTCCAAATCAAGCTTACGACCAGCGGTTGGGAAGCTCTTGAGATAGGCTATCACCTCCAACTTGAATTATTTCAAAATCATTTATAGATCTGTTTTTTGTTTGGTTAAGTGTTAAATGTGTGATCCTTGAGAGTCATGTATACCACAAACTCAGTAACAGTTGAGCAGAAACTTGTTTGTATGCCTTATCCTTAGCATTACATTAGATTTTTATCACATTAGCAGAAGTGTCCTTAGCAGGAGTACAACAACAATGAAAACGACGACAACAACAACAACGAAAAAAAACAGAAACAACGAAAAACAATAAAGCAAGAACGCCCAGTGAGGATCCCATCTATAGTGGGTTTCTGGGGTTTCCTTATTAGCTTAATAATGGGAAACATCAGTTAATGTGTTTGGCAATGTAACTGCCTCAGGCTTCACTTTATTACTGAGATAGACTTCTCAAATTATACTTTCATATCTGTTTCACTGTTGAAGGGTAATGGTCCTAGTGGTTTGGTTGCTTCTAGAAGTTCCTCCAGTGGTATCTTCGGCTTTGACTGCTCCAGTGGAATGACAGACCTTCCATAATTTTCCGGGTTTGGACAGTACTCCTGAAAATGATTCAGACATTGTTAATATGACACAGTCACAGGCTTTTTTCCATGGAAGTTTATTTTTATGTAGAGTTGGTTACTTACCTGATCAGCATGCATTTTCTTCACAAACGTCTTGAATAATCCAAAATTCCCCCCATCGAGTAGTTGATTGTTCAAACGAAGATATGTCAAGCCATACATCTTCAGCTTTGGTGGACCGTCTCTATTCACCCCATTTGGCCTAGCATTCAGCAGCATCTGATCATATGCATTGGGATCATATCTTGGAAGTGCATTTTCACCTGCTACCTCTATGTTTTCTCTCCAGCATCCACTCAAGACCTGCAATTTCAATGAATTATATCAATAGTGTACTATGTGAGGTATGGAATTTCACATTAAAATGTATAACCAGTAAATTTTATTGTGGTTTGCTACAAAATTATATGAAAAGAAAATAGTCGCGTATTGCGCCTATGCATACTTTGATATTGTTGTGCACTTATGCTATGTATATGTGTTCGTAACAACAAAATGTTTTTGAAGGTTTAAACTTGTATATGTTTCAATTGAAGATTTCATTAGTCAGTAATTTACTTGCAAGTTTCTTATGACCAGACTATATGTCAAAAACTTATGCATAAAAGCAATATTTCATGAAAAACAGTCTCCGAGCATTTGACATTAAGCTCAAGTCCCCACCTGTTTCACAAGCTCTTGTGGGGCGCTATCAGCATAACCAGGCTGCTCAGAGTCCTTCATCTCAAGACATGTAAAATCTAAAACACCATAGTGCCTAGAAAGCATCCTTGCTATTGGTCGATAGCCATCTCTTTCATACAAGTTGTAGTACCCTGCAGTCAGCTCAGCTGCATGACTTTCCTCGTTGTACCACCAATGTATTCCAGAAACCTGTTCATAGATCATAAGTAAAAAAAATCAGTAGTCATTTGCAAAAATAAATTCTTATTCATAGTTGTTCCTATGGCTCACTTTAGCTGCTATCTTGACTTTGCAGCCGCAGAATGCTTTAGTTGCTTCTTCTAGGATTTGGTCACCATGGATCAATAACTTGTTCGAATACCAAGTCAAGAAGAATTTTCCACTTTCTGTGACGTATGTCCCATTGTTTCTGAAAAACTCTGTTGATTCTGGTCTGTCATTGTACTGTCCTGCATTCTGTGGCACATCCCACTCGGGATGGCCAGCATCAGTTGCAGCTTTTTTGAAATCTTCTCTTAGATATTTGTCATAGCACTGCAGAATTAATGATTTGAAATTGGGTTAACTACTGAAGTGTTAAAGCATGTAATAATACTTCGCCTTCATTTGGTATATCTGATTATCCGAAAAGGCTGAATCTGAATGTAATAAGATCACCTGAAATTCTCCAATTCCTGGGTAGTTCCATCCTTGATTTTGTGGATATGAAGGGTATCGTAGCTCTCCAGCTGGGCCAAGACCTACTTCAATGTCAACTATTGTGCCAGCATCTAGGAAATCTGACATATTCTCTCTGAAACTCTTCATGTAATCACTGTATATCTGTCAATTTATTATATAACAAAAAATTAGTCCCCTTTCTTGTTTCAATTTTAGGAATGTGTTATGTGTAAATGTTTTCTTAAATTTTTGATATTTTGAAAATACTTACCTGAATGGGAGTCCGCCCTCCAAGGATAGGTTCGTTATCAATGCCAAGAGTAAGGTACTCTTTGTTCCTGGTACCGCGTCTGTTAGTATAGAAGATATCAGGGTTTGAATCTCCATCTTGAAGTACCCATTGAGGAAGTGGGATGTAAACACCATCACCTACATTACCACCACATTGATGGAATGACATTATTGCTTGTACTTTCAGGCCGCAATCCTTAATGGCCTGAAATAAGCTCCTGTATGCCTTCCAGTCATACTGCTTAGGTCCTTTTGCTTCTATTATTCCCCACCAGACATCGACCATGACTCCATCGACTTCTGCTTCCTTCAGCTTGTATAGTTGCCTCTTGATGTCATCCTGGTTCTGAAAGTTGTTATCTGGCGTAACTACCCCCAACTGTTGCCACAAAACAAGTAAATAAATTAGTCATTATACTGCTGCTTTAATTTGTTATGTGACTTACTTAAGGAAATGCTTGTGCTGAATGCTGATTAATGAAGGCTTACTGGTAACATTGCATAGACGGGCACATAGTTCAACAGCATGTTTGCCATATCGGTGTCTTTAGCTGAGACCTGAAGCAACATAGTGAATTATTTGTCTAAAAAGGGAGTGAAGAGCATGCATATCTAGTTAAATGGTTAAGTAATGAAGTATTATTGTAATTTGAATTCACCTAAATAGGTAAGGAAATCCCAACTCTCGAGTTGAAAAGAATACAAAAGAAAAAAAAAAAACAGTATGATTTTAAACCTGTAAGATTCTAAACTTTTTTAAGCCCATGATCTGATCAGCATTAAGATAGCAATGAAACATAAAATACTCATAATTATCAAAGAAAAAAAGTTAGAAATTCTTACAAATCTCCAAATCTTGATTAGTACTAAAAACTATTAAATGGGTTAAAATCTTGTTTTGCCTGTGTTTCTTTCATTGCAAATCATGCTATATATACTCACTGTATCTGAAGTTGTTACAGAAACAGCCAACATTTTTATGGGGCAATTGTCAAAATTGAAAAACTAACACATGCTTTCTCTTTCTCACTGGATATTTGTTTATGGCCACCTCTAGCTGTGTGCTGTCATCAGCTGCGCGCTTTTTATGATCACTAGATCAGCGGCGATAACAAATTATCCATCCAATTCACTGACTGTTACAAATTTCTATGCAGAGTATTGCAGAGATGATATTTCATCACTATGGGCCTATGGTATTTTTTTAATTTTAAAAGGGAGATGCCTTGCTCCATCAACTTCAGAAAGATTAAAGAGTCGCTTAAATAGTGATACAATGCTAGCTTTAAAACTCAGTTTCTAATGAATAATCTTCTTGTCTAATGAATATATATTGAATGACGAATGAAACTAGTTAGGAAGGTGATCAATGCACAATTTCACATTCAAATTCTACATGCAGAATATGATATACAATATGAACTACTATGTATGTTAAATGGACCTAGTACAGTAGTACCCGTGGTGCACACTAGATAGTACCATGGTACTGGTACATGTCCAAGTAAAGATGAGGGTCTGTCACAGGTATTTGAAATGAAACGACGAGTCCAAGTAACATAATGTCCAACTGGATACTACAAGCAAAATTGATGGGCTTCTAGACTCTAACTCCATCTCATCCATATTTCTTGCTAGATTGAAATCAAAATTTTCAGAATGTATTATAATCACTGGAATATTACTCTTTGCAGGAATGTATTAAGTCCTTTCTTTTCGTTTTTATTATTGATTAGAGTACTAATATAGTAATATGGTAGCCAAATTATCTGCAGTACAATAATAACTTTCTGATTTTCCTTCTAACGTCAGTTTTAAAGTTGGGCCATAATGTAGTTTATTTTCTTGCAAACAAAAATACTTTTGCCAGCCTCTTTTTCTGTTGAAGTAACAGAAACCGTTATTATCTATGAATTGTGAGGATATATGGATAACTTTTACGCTAGAGTTGGGTTTGTAAACTGTGGATATATACTTGTAGGCCAGGCTTTTATCAAAATATCATCTTATTTAGTATCATTTTCTGTTAGAATTTTACTTTACAAAATTACCCGAATTGAACCGACCCGACTATATTTCCATAGGTTTATTTTATATTGTACACTTTTTTATCATATATGGATATAGCATTAGGCGATCATTCATGCATCATAAAAATTGTAGCTAGCTATTATAACTATTTTATCTCAACCCTCTAAACTTGAGGAACTAATCATATTCATCACTATATATTTAAGGCAAGGCTTGCAAAGTAGCTAATCCGCATTATTTTAGTCATTATTATGTACAATATAATCATTTAAGAGCTTTTGAATTTTACTTTTATTTAGTAACTTAAAAGTTAGACACAAGTTTTTGCAACAATTCTATATGTACCCAGGAGACAGGAGTCATGTACATATTTGCTCATTCGTCATTTGAGGTTTTTGAATGAGTAAAAACGGAGTAATACTCTCAGCTTTATGTGTATGCGGGTGCAAATACAAAATTTTCAAAGTTTTTATAAAAGTACATATGACTCCTTTCTTTCATTTTAATAACAATTTTTGTTGTTGTTATTGTTGATGTTGTCATATCTCCATTAATTTAACTTACAGTTCGTCTTGTGTGTGACCACTTATTAAAGATCAAGGTAATCTCTATAACATTGACTGAGTAAACCCTATAACACTGACCAAGTAACCCTATAACACTGACGAAATTATCCCTTTAACTCAAAGTAACAGCTTTAACACTAACGAAGTAACCCTTATAATGGCCAGCTACATAAAAGAATTTGTGTTTAACTTATGCTTCACATGAATGCAAACTAGGATCACGTTACAGACTAAAGTTAAGTTATTCAATTAATAATAACTTCAATTCAACCAATATCAAGTGAATTGAGCAAAAACTGAAAATTATACAAGTAAATAAAACTACCAATTGTTCATTTAGCATAAGACATGAACCAGCTAAACAATCTAAACTTCATCAACTTTTGAATAATCAATATATTGTCCTCTTCAATGTCATTCATTCAATATCAAAATTGAAATAAATCACAACTTAATACTCATTTTTCTATCAAGGATTGCTGACATCTTAATAAATAATTTAGATATCCTTTCCAAAAGCTAATTTTAAATTATTTGATTAAATTTCAAACCATTAATCCATGGATTTTATTCTTTAATACCTTTTGTTGGAATAAAGGGAGGAAAAAGAGTTATTGCATTGAGCATCCGCCCGATCGTGCTAGCTGTGCTCGATCGGGCGCGAGAAAGAATAACGGACTTGCTGGAATTCCTGCCGCCTGGTTGGACGCGAGTGAAAGTCTGGAAACAGACCTTCGCTCGCCCGATCGGGCGAGTCATGCCCGATCGGGCGCGAGGAGCTTCGAAATCCGTCAATTTGTTCTTGGATGCTCGCCCGGTCGGTCGAAGCCTTGCCCTATTGGGTGCAATAGTATCCGTTGGAATTCCAACGGGCTTCTTCCCTTGGATTTTTCTTTGATCTCTTGATGATCCTTTGTAACCCCCCATTAAAGAAGATGTTTAAGGTGATTAAATCATATTCTTTATTCTTATTTAACCACCCTTTTGATGTCTAGATTCATTCTTTTGATCTTACAATCTTGGTTATAAATAGCTTGTTCATCCTCTGAAATATATACACTTGAACATAACCTTCAAACACAAGCTTAAACACATACTCTTCTTTGGACATAAGTTTATATGACTTCACCTCTCATCCAAATGTGTCTTTGAGTGATAGTGGTGTGTAACCTTAGAAAACGTACCAGAGATATAATGTGCACCCGGTTGCGCTGGAATTCGTTTTCAAAATCTGTGACGAAGTTACGCCACACCATCTTCCTTTTGCTCAAACAATTACATTATTCATTCTATTATTTGTAGCCTTTGAAACACTTATTTTACAACACTTTTTAACTTACAAGAATATTATTAATACTTTCAGATTTTATTATCAAACTTTTTTTTTAAATATGGACCTAATACAGTAATACCACCAATATACATATACCATTATCCTCCATTTAAAGTTCAAAGTATATTTTAATTTTGAAATTTTTCGTATACCATACTTAAGTTAATTTTATGCAAAATACATACAAAGTATATTTAAATGACTATTTAACAAGAACACATATTTAACTATTTATTTAAGTAATTTATAACAAAATACAAAGTACATCTTAAATCATAGAAATATTAAGTTTAACAAAAACTGTACAAAGTGAATCTTGTGCACATTTATAACGGTTGCACACGAGATTTGTGTAACATTTCAACGGATTAATAAATACAATAGTCACTTCAACTAATAACAATATTACGTAGTAATATAGCATGAGGAATCCTCATAAAATACACATTCCTCCAATATCTTTCTCTCTTCATTCCCATGTTAGATCTCTCTATCCTCCAGTCACAAACCTTTTTCCCTAAAGTTACATACTTTAGCCAATAATAATCATAATATTAATAATTATTTATCTAATAATTAGGATTAATTATTAAACTAAGAATTACACATATAAAATTACTCCCACTTTACCTAACACATCAAAAGGCATCTAAAAATAAACAAAAAAGAGAAAAGAAATTAAAAGAAAAAACCCGCCACTTTTTAACCCCCCTTAAATTAGTTACCCCACTATTTGTATACATTTCTCCACCCACAACCACCACCACCTATCTTATTTTAACAACGGTGGATGTCGTTCCACCGCTGCTATCCGAACCACCTGTAGAACCCGACATTCCCACCATTTGATGGTGATGATACGAACCCGACCCATACATCTGACCTTGATGATGATGCCCCATCATCATCATCCCACCATACATACCACCTCCACCACCGGAACCACCACTATTCCCACCGGAACCACCACCATACCCGCCAGAACCACCGCCACCACCACCACCACCGGAACCCGAATTTCCACCGGAAGATCCGTCTTTCTCACCGGGTCTTCCGCCGGAAACCGTCGTTTTCTCACCCTCCAACTCCCTATACTTATGAAGATAAACCTTCAATGGCTCAACATACTCCTCAAATCCAAGCGTCGTCATCGCCCACAAAAGATCGTCGCCATTAATCGTCTTCCTCTTCTCTCTCTGACACTTATCGGAGGCTTCTCCGGTGATAAAGCTGATAAACTCCGACACACACTCTTGAACGGTTTCTTTAGCGTCTTTGGAGATTTTAGCGTTTGCCGGCAACGCTTTCTTCATGATTCTGCTGACGTTAGCGATGGGAAGAAAACGGTCTTGTTCTCGAGCGGAGAGTTCGCGATTTCCGCAACCGCCGGATTCGTTGTCGGAATCCGCCATCGGAAAACGCTGCGTGGTTTGGGAGGAGAGAGAGTGGGAGGAGGAGAGAGAAAAAGGAAAAAAGAGGGAGAAAGGAAGTGCAGGGGATCCGTTGGATTGGTGGAGTAATAATGCATCAAAAGCGACCACGTGGATGAATATGAGCCGTTTGTTAGATGATAAGGAAGAGGAAAGCGTGGATAAAGGATAAGGCGTTGGATTGTGACGTGGGGCATAGTGCTCTTGATGGTACAGATTTTGACAACCGTACTTCTTTTTTTTTTTTTTTTTTTTTTTTTTTTTTTTTTTTTTTGGGGTAAGAAAATAAATTAAACAGAATAAAAAAGAAAAAAAAATGTACTTGTATGACTTTAGCTGACTTTTCCCTCAAATTAAAGAAATTATAAATCATAAAAAATAAAAAAATAAATAAAAATCAATATACGTATAAATTGTAGGACAATCGTCTTACAATTTGGTGTAAAAATGTTTGACTTAAAAATATTTTGCTGTGAATTTGATTGTAATTTAGAACTATTCGTAAATTACACCCGAGAATACAATAGAAATTGATGATTCAACTTTGATGTTACGTTAATGTGATAGGTGATGTTATGTTAACGTGATAGAAACCGCTCAATTTAACTTGAGGATTTGAAATTCGCACCTCATTATAGATGCAATCCAAGAGAAATTCTAACTAAATATTCTATAAATTATACTCTGTAGTATGTACTATGAGCAAGAGGTTTTAGGAGATGTTATGAATGTGGCCTTACCAATGTTACCATGACTACATAGAATCAAATATTTATCTCTCGCAATCCTTTGTTGCAATTAAAAAGAAATGGATGTAATATAAGCATTGAACTTTTCAATCTAAATTTATAAAGAGTAAATGCATTACCATTTATCGTTATCGAAGATTTTTCCTAAATTGATGTTCTTTTGTTAAGTGATTGCTATATTTTATTTTTATTTATTACATCACTATTGTAGCTATAGAATTAAATTTATTTTTATTGATTAAAACTTATTTTTGATTATTGCAATTGATTGTTACTAAATATCATGTTTTATGGTTTCATAAAATAAAAAATAAAAGAAAGAAGAAAAAAAAATAAGTTTCCTTAACTTTTTAAAAGTTTAACCAAACATTTATAAATAGTGTTATGCCAATTATATCCCTAAAAATGTCGATTTACATACATACCCCTATTTTTATGCATGCGAATCACATGTGTTTCAGTTTTTTCCTATTTATTTTTTCTATTCTTTTATAACTGTATGCGTGGAGTAGCTTTTTTATTTTTATTTTTATTTTTTTTATCCCTTACCTAGTACCTTTTAAAAAGTTTGAGATAATTTTTATGAACAGTGTTTGAACAATTATATCCTTGTTAGTGGATATTTTAATTGAACACTTAGAAATAGTGTGCGAATATTTCTACCCTAAAATTTTTTGTTTACATATTTTCCCTCATTAATATTACCAACAACTAAAGTTGTGACATAGAACCAAATAAAAAGATATTCTCGAACATGATTAGCTTTGCGCACACATCACACACGTTAGCCACTTAATAAGGTGAAAATTACAAAACTTAACTACCTTAGGGAAAAAAAAATTTTTAAATAATGTGAAACTAAGAGATTAATCTTGTATACTTAATTACTTTGTCAGCTTATCTTCTTTTTGTTATTTTTTTTTTATTTTTTTTAATCTTATCTGTCTTTGGATTGATTACTAAAAAAAAATACATCATGGTTCATGAATAACATAGGTCACTTCATTTGGCTTTGGCTCTTTTTTTTTTTTTTTTTTTTTGGGCAAAAACATGTCCTACATTTTTTACTTTTGTTATTGAGCTTTTATATGCATGCGATGTACATCAAACAATATTTATAATTTAACATCATTAGTTTTATACAACAACCTAAATAGCTAAACTTAATGAGTAGAAAAGATCCAATTGAATTAAAATATCAAAAAGACAAATTTCTTTTAAAATGTAAAATTTATAAACAATTTTGTATGCAAAAATAAATAAATAAATAAAAATAAATAAATAAATAAAAAATGATGAATTAGGTGACAAGAGCATGGTTGACACAAAGGCTATGGTGTCATTGACTCGTGGTTGATGAAGGGGATGGTTGATGGAGTTTCTCGATGATCATGGAAGTGTTTAACCATGAACATAAAAATATTTATAATTAATTAAAAGATACAGAATTGGAGAACAAAAAAGAAGGCATATGTGTTTTTATGGGTGATTTACAAAACTTTGATCATTTAAAAACTTTGTTACACTTTGCGTCAGAACAAAATAAACTTAATTACTAAAGTGTTGTCCATGTAGGATCGGATACAATTATTCAATTTTTTTTTTAAATATGTAGTGCAAAATTGCTAGTGGAGGACGTGTTTGGCATTGTTTTCTATTTTTCTGATTTTTTTGAAAACAAAAAACAAAAAAAGAAAATTAGAATTGAAAAAGGTGTTATCGCTTTTCAGTTGTCACTTTTCAAAATTAGCATGATTTTAATAAGTTTGACCAATTATATAAATCATATGATTTTGATAAATAAAAAACCAAAAAAACAGAAAACAGAAAACCACAGCGATATCAACCGAAATAGTTGTTTTACCTCTTAAGATAGTGGATACATCTACTAAACTCAATAAAATTAGTATAAAATATTTACTAAGTATAATTGCTATGTAGGATAGCGTAGGAAAATTTTCAAACTCAACCTTGAGCCCCACTGTGATCATGTTTTTAAGCATGGTAGCGTCCAAAGGGAAAGAAGCTAGAGATAAAAGAGTCGCCAACAAGTTTTAGAAACTTGTAAACCGTTCTTGGGTGTGAAGTTTATACCCCATTCATGATCACGGATTTTAATAAACCTATTATTGGTGATCACTTGAATTAAAATCATATTAGCCTAAACAAATGATTAATTATCTTATTAGACGTGATTTCAAGTACAAATTCTCTTTAAACTTGCAGAAAAGGCGCGTGATCAAGCAATAGCAATAAATCATGAATAATCAAACATCATAATATCCTCAAAACATTATTAGCAAGATCCTAGGCATGATACTAAACGGATTAATAACAAACCCTAGAATGTCACTAAATAATCAAGATCAAAGCTTTCACCTAAACATGATACTAGAAACCAACATGATATAAGAAATATTAATTAACACCCTAAACATGATACTAGGGATCAAAATAATATTCTAAGCATGATTTCTATATCAAAAGAATAATTAAGGAATCGAATTACTCACTGTGATGCCTCGTATCTCTTTCGATCAAAACAATACACACGTTAGCAACTTCAAGAAAGATTAAACCAAATAAATAAACCAAATAATAAATATAGATTTGGGACCAAACCCTCAGAACTAACAACCTTTCACGTCAAGGTTGAAGGCAACTTCGAGATTGGCTTGGAGTATTCAAGGCTCGTGAAGGAGGTATGGTGTTTAATCAAAGGGAGTATTAAGGATGTGTATTTGGATGTGTTGGGATGTTAGGCTAAGGCTAGAAATCAAGAAAAAAGAGAGAAAAAAGCTTTTAGCTTAGAGAGAGGATTAGATGATGATTGTTGGTGATTGAAAATGGGGTGAAACGACCTCTATTTATAAGAAAAAGAGGGTCGAAGGGTCATAATTCAAATCAAAGTAAAACAAGTTCCATCGCGGCGCGACAGACTTATCGCAGCGCGACAACCTTGTCGCGGCGCTGTAATTCTGTCGCTCAGCGATGGTTTTTGGAAGATAAAACTCGTACGGAATCCGACTTCCAATCAAATTGGGTTAATCAAATTTCCGTATGGATTCTAATTTAACCGGAGTTAAAATCATTGAAAAACAGATATTTTATCCGATGTAAAATTCTTAAGTCTTTATCTTTTCGAAAACAAGATAAATTAGAACCTTCTTGAGGATTCTAGAAGATAATAATAAATCCTAAGGGATTTAGGATCGAAAACAACCCTCTAGAGAATTTTAGAAGCTCATAATAAATCGTAATTGGTTTAGGAATGAGATTAAGGTTAATGGACCCTCCACATAATCATTGGGTCGTAGGTAATTAAGGCTTGGTTCGGTCTCGGTTTAGTATTTTGGCCATAACTTCTTCGTTATAGGTCGGATTTGGCTTATAATATATCGTTGGAAAGCACTTTCCAAACCCCATCCAACTTTAAAATAATTGTACCGAGATCATGGACCGAAATAGACTGGTTTGGACGATTTTATAAAGAGGACACGAAATGGATGATTTTGAGGGACACAAAATAAATGATTTTGGGCTTAAAGACACAAAATAAATGATTTTGGATTAAAACATTTTAGGAAAGGTTAGAAATGGTTAAGGCTAAAGGGAATTCACGAGACTATTCAACTCTTTACCTAACTCGATAATCAAAGACGTGAAATGTACTCATCACTGGGTTTGGTTTTTGGGGAGACACAATAAGGTGTCTACAGATAATGATTTTGCTCTAACTAAAATAAAAAAAAAACAAAAATTACTCCTATCCTACATGGACAGCAGATTTGTAAATAAGCATTAAACCAGAGCCAACGGTAAATAATTAAGTTTTAAACGAACCATACTTACGTAAATCATTATTTTTTATACCCATCAAATTAGTGTGGGTTAAACAAATGGATTTATAGAAAGGTTTTACATGATTTGATTAGGTAAATTATTGATTTGTGGATGAAAAGATTGATTAAGGGAGGGAAATTTTTTATCGTAATTAGGGAACTTGTGATTTGATTGAAATGAAAGACTAAAATTTTAAAATCACTAATTGTAGTAAATAATGAAATTATTTAATTTAGGAAGTTATTTGATGTAATAAAAAATGATAGATTGAATCATGACATTCTACTTTAATTTTTTACCCTTATTTTACAATTATAATACTCGCATAAGCCAAAAGGGGTTTTAAGGTCTTTTTAAATGGATATCACAACCCCTTCTTGGATTTATATATAATATAGATATTTGAGTATCTCAAGAAAATTACAAAATCATTCATGCCGTGTCCTTAACATTCATTTCGTTCCCAAATTATAGAAACGTCCAATCTGATTATTTTTTTATCCATGTTCTCGGTCCAATTATTGTTTAGCTGGATG